ACCTACCTACTACGACTACGACTACTACTACTACTACTACTACTACTACTACTACGCCTACTACTACTACTACTACTACTACTACGACTACTACGACTACTACGACTGCTACCACTACCACTACCACTACCACTACCACCACTACTACTACTACTACTACTACTACTACTACTACTACTACCACTACTACTACTACCACGACTACTACTACTACGACTACTCCTACTACCACTACTACTACGACTAGTACTACGACAAATACTACGACTTACTAACTACAAACTACTAACTACTAACTACCTACTACTACTACTACTACTAATAATAATAATAGTAATAATACGACTACTACTACGACTACTACTACTACTACTACCTACTACTACTACTACTACTACTACTACTACTACTACTACTACGACTACTTCGAATATTACGAGTACTACTACTACTACTACTACTACGACGACGACGACGACGACGACGACGACTACTACTACTACTACTACTACTACGACTACGACTACTACTACTACTACCACGACTACTACGAACTACGACTACTACGACGACTACTACGACTACTACTACCTACTACTACTACTACTACTACTACTACTACGACGAGGACAACTATACTACTACTACTACTACTACTACTATACTACTACTACTACTACTACTACTACTTACTACTTGCTACTACTGCTACTACGCTACTACTATACTACTACTACACTACTACTACTACTATACTACTACTACTACTACTACTACTACTACTACTACTACTACGACGACTACGACTACGACCTACTACGACTACGACTACTACTACTACTACTACTGACTACGACTACCACTACTACTACTACTACTACTACTACTACTACTACTACTACGACTACGACTACTACTACTACTACTACTACTACTACTACTACTACTACTACTACTACTACTACTACTACTACTACTACTACTACTACTACTACTACTACTACTACCACTACCACTACCACTACCACTACCACTACTACTACTACTACTACTACTACTACTACTACTACTACTACTACTACTACTACTACTACTACTACTACTACTACTACTACTACTACTACTACTACTACGACTGCTACTGCTACTACTACTACTACTACTACTACTACTACTACTACCACTACTACTACTACGACTACTACTACTACTACTACTACTACTACTACTTCTACTACTACTACTGCTGCTGCTGCTGCTGCTGCTGCTGCTGCTGCTGCTACTCCTGCTTCTGCTGCTACTGCTGCTGCTCCTGCTCCTGCTACTGCTACTACGATTATTGCTACGACAGGAAAACATAAGAATACGAACATTGATGCTGAAACTAGTCCTTCTCCTCCTTCTCCTCCTACTCCTCGTCCTTCTCTTCCCCGTCCTACGAGTGCCTCATCGACCTGTTTCACCCCCTCCTCGTCCTCCTCCTCCTCCTCCTCCTTCCCCTCCTCGTCTAACTCTTGATCCTCCTGCTCTTCCTGCTCCTCCCCCTCCTCATGTTTTTGTTCCTGTTCCTCCTCGTCCTCCTCCTCCTCCTTCTCCTCCTCCTTCCCACTGGCCAAACTCCATGTGGTTGGGCATCAGCACCTTCGTCGCGGCATTGAACTGACTTGTGCTTGTGAAGCCAGTGTTGACCAGGTGCACAACCCCGATGCGACTGAATACGTCCTGGGGGGAGTCTGCCAGGTCCCTTTCGGTTGCAAATTGAGCGCTGCGTCTGCAGGACCGGCTGGATCGATCCAGCATGTCGACCGCCCAAACGTGTCGATGTACCGTACCACCCGACTGATTGCCCGAATCGAACCCGTCGATCCGAATCGACCCCGATTTCAGAAGGAAGGTGCCGCTCACACCCATGCCTGGCAGGAGCCCCCAGAGTGTCCACGCCGACCCCTCCTCCAAGGACACCACGGAGGCCCACAGGAGTTCTTGGAAGCCCAACGACAGCCACTTGAGGCCCCCTGCAAAACGTTGAGGGCCCCCAAGACCAACTCGTCATGGTCCGGAATCGCGCTCTCGCTGGCCACACTCTTGCCTCGGAAAGGCGCTCCCTCCCTCGCAGTGCGGTGCTCTCGCCCCCGCGCCAGCAGCACTCCTGCCTCGGTGCCAGCTGCGCTCCTGCCTCGGAGCGGCACTCTCGCCTCTGCTCGGCGGCGAGCCTGGGGGCAGTGAGAAAGGGAAGGCCCTCTCGGCAGGTTCGGAAGCCCCCTGGCCTTCTGAGAAGCCTTCTGGGCCTTCCCCGAAGGCACAACAACCTCTCAGAAGGCCCCGCCGCCGTGCGAGGAGGAAACGGAGGAGGAGGAGGAGGAGGCCGCACGAAGAGGCGGAGGCCTTCTCCCTCTCACTTCCCCCCCCTCGCTCGCTCGCCGCCGATCTGCGCCAGCCACGTGCCCGCGTCCCCGGCGGCCCCGGAGGGCCCCAGAGGCCCACGGGGTGGGTCCAGAATGTCTCCAGAGACGGGCAGCCTCTGGAGGCCGTTCCCTGAGCCTCTGGAGGCCACTCCCCCCTCCCTCACAAGAAGCGCTCAAAAATCTCGCTCCCCCCTCCCCCGCGGGAAGCGCCCAGAAATCTCGATCGCCCTCCCCTACAGGAAAGCGCCCAGAAATCTCGATCCCCCTTCTCCACAAAAAGCGCCCACGAATCTCGATCCCCCTGCTCGACAGAAAGCGCCCAGAAATCTCGATCCCACTCTCCCCCTACAGAAAGCGCCCAGGAATCTCGATCCCCCATGCCCTTATCCCCTGCAAGAAGCGCCCAGAAATCTCGATCTTCCATTCCCTCCAAGAGGTCTGGCCAGGGAGGGTCTCCTCCACAAGGCGCCACCGTCAGAGCAAACCTCTCGCGCATCCGCCAGCCCTGCGAATAACTACAATCGTACAGTAGGACATCGCTCTCTTTGACGATTCGCGACAAACGCGCGTTGCTGCTGTGAGCATTGTTTAACCGATCCCCATCCCCACCAACGAGGGCTGGGCCCCACTGGCCGATTTACCCCCCTGACTTCGGGTTTCGAGCGGCATACCCCCAACTGAGGTGGTGAGGCGGCGGGGCTCGAAATGTGGATGGGGATGGGGATAGGGATCGGTTAAACGATGATGCTGCTGTTGGGGCCGACCCCACCCCTTCCCCCCGGTGAAAGTACGGCTCGCGCCAACGCCGTCTTGCTACAGAGGCACCCTGATGTCAAGACAGCGCCAGCGCACATCGCGGCATTACACTGCCCCCACCACCGCCCACCCGTTCCCATTCACGTGTGTTCTTGCCTTGCGCTCCTGCAGCTGAACTCGTGAAACGGCGCCAGAAAGAGAAGGACGAAGGAGGTCCAGGCGCAGCTTCAAGCGTTCGGGTTAGGTCGGGCATGTCCCCCTACAGGGGGATTCCGGATGAAAAACAAAAAACTAGCCTGGCGAAGGACCCAACCATATGCAGCTGCGAACACCGCAATTATGAATATCATCGTCGCCCGCGCTCCCTATGGGGCCACGAACCGTGTGAGGGGCGCGCCGACATGCGTGGTGGGGCACACGACGCGAGCGATGACGATAGGTCTGGGTGCGAAAGACTGAGAGCGAGTGAGTCTGATTGTGGATGAGTCTGCGCGCGCGTGTCTACGCGCATAAACGTCGACGCCCATGTCGGCACGCCTCTCACGAGGATCGCGCCCGCTTGTTTCCCGTTCTTCTTCTCCCGCTTTGCCCGGGCACGCCCACGTCCAAGGCTGCGGGCGCGGCGCCGCACGGAGTCCCACCGACGCGCGCTGGTCGCCCTGCAGGGGTCCCGGTGACGAGCGCGGGTCGTCCGCTGCGCGGAGCAGAAAGAGCGAGCAGGCTGGCTCCCGCCCGGGATGCGCGGCCCGAAAGCGGCCTCAACACGTCGAATACGACGAAAAACCTCTGGAAATCGAAATTCGCCGCCATGCGAACTCCGCCACTGCGCCGCCATTCGAATTCCGCAGCGGAGACCTTAGGTGGAGCTTCCTGTGGGAGCAAGAAACGCTGTACTGGGTGGTGGATGACGCATGCGGGCGGTCCCACTGCGGCCTTCGGTGGAGCCCCCTTTTATGGGGCCACGAAACGGTGTCCTGGGTGGTGGATGACGTATGCGGGCGGTCCCGTTGGGGCCTTCGGTGGAGCCCCCTTTATGGGGCCACGAAACGCTGTACTGGGTGGTAAGTGACGCATGCGGGCGGTCCCACTGGAGCCTTTGGTGTAGCTCCCTATGGGGCCACGAAATGCTGTGCTGGGTGGTGGATGACGCATGCGGGCGGTCCCACTGGGGCTTTCTGTGGAGCTCCTTATGGGGTCACGAAACGCTGTACTGGGTGGTGGATGGCGCATGCGGACGGCCCCACTAGGATCTCAGGTGGAGCGGCCACGAAACGTGTGAGTGGTGTGCCAAAATGGAGCGGCGGCGCCATGCGAACTGCGCCACTGGGACCTCAGGTGGAGCTTCTCTATGGGGCCACGAAACGTGCGAGGGATGTCTCACAATGGGGCGGCGGCGCCATGCGAACTGCGCCACTGCAACCTTAGGTGGAACTCCCTGTGGGGCCACGAACGTGTGAGTGGTGTGCCAAAATGGAGCGGCGGCGCCATGCGAACTGCGCCACTGGGACCTCAGGTGGAGCTTCCTCTATGGGGCCACGAAACGTGCGAGGGATGTCTCACAATGGGGCGGCGGCGCCATGCGAACTGCGCCACTGCAACCTTAGGTGGAACTCCCTGTGGGGCCACGAACGTGTGAGTGGTGTGCCAAAATGGGGCGGCGGCGCCATGCGAACTGCGCCACTGCGACCTCAGGTGGAGCTCCCTCTAGGATCGCGAAGGGGCGTGCCAAAATGGAGCGGCGGCGCCATGCGAACTGCGCCACTGCGACCTCAGGTGGAGCTCCCTAGTGGGGCCACGAAACGTGTGAGGGGTGTGCCAAAATGGGGCGGCGGCGCCATGCGAACTGCGCCACTGCGACCTTAGGTGGAGCTTCTCTATGGGGCCACGAAACGTATGAGGGGTGTGCCAAAATGGGGCGGCGGCGCCATGCGAACTGCGCCACTGCGACCTCAGGTGGAGCTCCCTGTGGGGCCACGAAACGTGTGAGGGGTGTGCCAAAATGGGGCGGCGGCGCCATGCGAACTGCGCCACTGCGACCTCAGGTGGAGCTCCCTAGTGGGGCCACGAAACGTGTGAGGGGTGTGCCAAAATGGGGCGGCGGCGCCATGCGAACTGCGCCACTGCGACCTTAGGTGGAGCTCCTTATGGGGCCACGAAACGTGTGAGAGGTGTGCCAAAATGGGGCGGCGGCGCCATGCGAACTGCGCCACTGCGACCTTAGGTGGAGCTCCCTATGGGGCCACGAAACGCTGTACTGGGTGGGTGAAACGCAGGGAGGAGGGGGAGGAGGAGAGGAGGAGAGGAGCGCGGGGCACCGTCTCTTCAAAACGAAGACCCAACACCACAGGATGGTTGGGAAATACCAAAGAAATACCGAGCAAATAATCAAAAATGGTCCAAGCATCGTCCCCTGACTATTGATTGACTATTTTTGAATATCCCTCCTGTGGAGCGACACGCCCGACTTAACATTTAGGGGGGCTCGCGCCACGGTCGCTGGAGGGTCCTGGCCCCCGCGGGGGAATGCAGAGGCAGCAGCCCCATGAGGGGCCCTGGGACACACAAGTGAATAGACACAGATAACAGGATTCCCCTATATGTTCCCATATTTGCTGAGTTTGTATCTGCCCCCCCACTTCCTACATTTTCCCATGTTTTCCGGGGGATCGACGATTAACTGTGTCTGTGCTTTTTCCCCTCCTGACCCCAATGCTCCTGGAGGCCTCGGGGCCAGAGTGGACGGGATCGAAGGATCGCACCGCATCGCCGATGCATCGCCGATTCCCTGGCGGCGTCGCGACAAAGAAAATCGGACTCGAGACGGGGATCTTCTGACCCGGGTCAATCCAAACCCGGGTTACTCGGGCCTCGCAGAGTCCTGCAAGATTTTGCAAGATCCTGCACCCAAACCGAGGTCAATGCGAAGGATCCTGCAGGATCCTGCGCCCAAACCCAGGTCAGTGCGACCCTGGCCCTACAGAATCCTGCAAGATCCAGCACTCAGGCTGACCCCCGCTTGCATTGACCCCCGTTTGCGCCGCATCGCCGGTGCATCGGCGACGCTGCGGGATTCTCCGACGCAGTCCGCTCTGGCAGAATCTGGGAGCCCTGAAGCGCGGGGCCTGCCTGCGGCGCGCCTCGGGCTGTCGACGGAGGCTGCCGCGACTGCGCGGACGCACCCAGACAGGAAAGGAACAAGAGGCAAGCATGAGCCAAGCAGGACGGAGTCCATACCTCCTCCTCCTCCTCCTCCTCCTCCTCCTCCTCCTCCTCCTCCTCCTCCTCCTCCTCCCCCTCCTCCTCCTAGCAGGACCACGGAGGGAGGATTTGGGCTGGGCCAGGGCCCTTTCCTGAGAGGGAGGCCCGTGCCTAACTCCCGGGGAGCTCCCTCCTTTGGCACGGGGCTCCTACCTCTCTTGTAATGGAACTGGTAGGTGCGACACTCCTCGTCAGGCGGCCCTCGGAATCGCCAGGGGGCAGGCGTCCATCTATGGGTTCCCGTAATTCCGAACTGTGGGGAACCAACCCATAACTCGGAATTACGGGAAACCCGTGGATGAA